GAATGACCTGGTAAGCCAGTTAAAAGCCTTCTTCACTCTGCATCCCACTCAACAAATAACAAATCAAAATTTCTTAAAATGGGGTCCAGGAATCTTCACATTTACCAAGCTCCCTAAATAATTCTTACTCAGAGTGAAGTCTGTAAAACACTAGGTTTAAGATGTAAGGTGTTGTGGTCACTTGATAGTAGCCTTTCTAATAACATGACCTTTTAAAAAGGTTACAGTTATTGACAACTAGCCCATGACTATTTCAGATCATGGACTGAAGTAGACACTTCTCTGTACCATACCATTCCAGGTATAGTTCTCAGAGGTGAGCTGCCCCTTATAGGTCCTCACTCTTCCTGTTAGGAAGGCTACAAAAGAGGTATGCAAACTTGGTGTCCTGCACAGGTGATGATTATGCTACAGTAATTCCTTTGTATGGGTAACTGTTAGGTTTTTCCCTAATTCAGTAATTGTTCAATGAACAATGACTAGTTCTTGTGATTCTTTTCTTTTCTCTGTTCTGATCATATTTATTGGAATATAATTTTTGCCAGTTGAACCTAGTAAGAAAATCAGACTTCTATATTATATGCCTTTTCCCTTCATTTTTCTTAAGATTAATTTTTATTATATTCTTTAAATGCATAGCTATGTAACAGACTCAAAATATGGTTACTTCATCAAAGAGATTTTGCAAAGCACTGCTACATACCATTCTCCTTTAAACAAATTCAGACAAAACACAGTCCTGGAAGAGCATTTTCTCACCTGCAAAACAGTAGAGGGTTGAACTAGATCAGGAGATTCTTCAGCTTTATGATTGTTTGTGGATACAGCTATATCTCATTTCATATAGGTGTATTATTCACTCTGTGAATTACCCAAAACTTATACCTATAGTTGACTTTCTGCTGCCTCTCATGACACCTCTGAACCACCTCTCCTACTGTGAGTTTGTGCGGGTGTATGGAATAAAGAGCACTTTAATAATAGCCTAATCACAATGTAACTAAAAAAGGTAATTTGGTACCAAAATATTACACAATACACATCAAAGCAAACTTCAGTTATTTCTTACCATCTGCTACTTTGGATTACCACTTTTCCTCTCCACTAGTACCTTTATAATACCTTCATCTTAGCTTTTTTCAAAGTGCTAAAGACACAACATAATTTATCTGTAAATCTGTTTCTCTTATGTGTCAATCTATCTCACTTTCTATTTCACATTAACCTTAGTACATTTTTCTTTTACATTTTTAGTAAAATATGATCACGTCATATCTCTGTTATCTTATTCTACATGAGTAGGGTTTCTTTTTTGTTTTTCTTGAGCCCAGGAGGAACTTAAAAGCAAAATATTTACATTAAGAAAGTCATTTTTTCTCCAAAAAAAAAAAAAAAGTGTAGATAACACATGTTTAAAGAACCATCCAATTAGATAAATTTCTGTCTCTGGAAACTAGACCCCCAGAGTTGGTTCTCAAAGTCTGCATGTTTATACATAATACCTAATGGTATTTCTCACCTTAAGCTTAGAGTAAGTAATGAGTAATATGCATTACTCTGGGTATTTTCAAAATGTGCTGACCCTCTGAAACTTTCCAAATGGCTTCTTTGTGAGCTGTAAGGGCCATCTAGCTAGCTATAGATAAACAAGTTTTAACATATGGGCCATAGCACATACACAGCTCTGCTCCACTAGTGCAGAAAATTAAGAAAAGGTTGCTCTCTTGATATGAGGAACCCATGCAGAAGAAGCAGCACTATGTAGTGGAGGGCCTGCCTAAGGTGCACACAGAAAAGCTTAATTCTTGCTTCTTGTCTGCCACTCACTGGACATCCACTTGGTCCTGCCAAGTCTCCTTAGTTCCTCATATAAAAATTTAAAACAGTGCTTAATCAACTGGGGTCCTTCTCTCCTTTATTTCCTTTCTCTTCCCTCATTCTTCCTTCCTTCTTTTTCTTCTTCTTTCCCTTTAAGAAACATTTATTATATGACTACAGTATGTACATTCCCAAGATGGTGCTAGGTAGATGGGTATCCTAGTGAGGAAAACAATAATGAAGATATATCAAATAAACAATTGAGAGTAGGAAGAATATCCCAGAGAGAGGAAACATGTGCAAAGGTCCTGAGATGGGAAGGAGCACAGTTTGTTTAAAATAATTCAAGATTTGCAAACATATCCATTAAATTGATGATTCAGCTGAATATTTAAATGCTGGAAGGAAAATTCCTGCCATCTCCAGATGGCGATTCAGACAATTATATTAGCATAAACTCTTTGAAAAATAGCCTGCATTTTTACTTCATACTGTTGATCTCATGCCTGCAATCAATTAATGTAATAAAACTGTATGAAATGTGACCATCAGATACAATACAAACATTTCAAGCACAGGATATTATGGTAAATGCCTGGAGAATTCTGAAAGTTTCCAGAAAACCCAGGAGGATGATGAGTTTTTTATATTTACAGAATATAATTAAACACTAAGGCAACAGCTATCCAGTTATCTGTTACAAGTTCTTCCCTTCCCAGCATTGCTTCCCAATACTCAGCCTTGCCTGATGACAGCTGATACCCTAGAGTGAGAAGACACATTAGTCACAGTAGTCATTATTACTTGAAGAGTCACAAAATAGATATAAAACGTTTACCTCAATCATTTTTCTCAATTCTCAGTTAAAACAAAAGCTGTGCCTTTGGCAACAAATTATGTCATGTGAAATGGTATTAACTATTGGATATTTTTCTCATTCCTTTTCAATTCCAACCTGTGCCTTTCATTTGCATGTCCTGCATTTAAAGCACAATGTCTACATGAATTGCAGCCCCTGTAGCCAGAATGAAGCAGAGAGCTCAATACTCATTCAAGTCAGGCAGGATAAACAACCAATTTGAATAACAAAGGTCCTCATTAAAAAAATTAAACACATTTGAAACCTTAAATTAGTATAGCTAACTAACCATAAGGAATTGCCTTATGCTATAGGAAAGAAAAATCCCACTTGCTACAACCTGCTATATTGTGACAATCTGAAATATGTCTGCTTTCTACCTGATGGCAAATTCCTTAAAAGTAGGGACTATGCCAAACCCACTTTGTTCTTTCTAAGCCTACAATGCTGAAGGTCACAGGAGCCAAATAAATGCTCATTAATCAACTCAAATAATGAACAGTAATTAAAGCTTACTAAATAGATGAACCCTCATGTTGAGGTATAATTTAGTACAGAATGGTCAGCTACCTGTTGGAATTTTTTATTTTGTTTTGTTTTGCTTGAGACAGGGGTCTTGAAATGTAACTCAAGCTGTCCTTGAACTCTCAATCCTCCTGCCTCAGCCCGAGAATGCAGGCATGTTCCACCATGTGCAGCTACCTGCTGGAATTTTAGCATATAGTTTTCCTTTCTGCCATCCTTTGTAGAACAATAGGTATGACATCAGACCTTTTATTAAAAAACATTTAAGTTGCTTTATTACAGCTACAAATAACCTTTATTTGATGTAATATAATAAAACATTTTCAAATTTAACAACATATATATGATCATAATCATTTAAGTTATGACTATAAGTATATACGGTCACTTTAGCAAATCTGCGGTTCAGGAATTTATACAAGCTTTGACAGGACAGACCCCACCTCCCCTGGCAGGAAAGGCAGCCCTTCCCTGTGACTGATAAGAAGCATCAACATTTGGAAGAAGTCCATAATCCATGTTGGAATTTCACTTTATCTTGTGAGAGGACACACTCCTTTATCGTAGGAAAATAATATTTTCTTTCAGTTCTCTTTTATCAAATGAAGGTTTGCATTCATTTTTCCCTTACAGTTTATGGGTATTGTTCTTTTTTGATCTATGTCTTTCCATCTCCTAGGCTCGGACTTATTACATAGAACCATTTAAAAAAATACAATCCACAAAGGGACCTCTTTTGTTTCTTTACCTGCCCGAATGCCTACCACTCTTTATTTGGGGAAAGAAGGGCTGCATGACAAAATTAAGCCGGCACACATTTAAGATACAGAGAAAACGGAAACAACTTCTCTAGACGAAACCAATGGTGTTCTGGAACTTTTCCCAACAGTGGTCCAGGTGACCCCCAAATCACACAATCTAGTTGAATTCATATGTTTATGACCTATCTCCAAAAGCACCACAACAATTAGTGGACAACAATTGCCACACTTCTTCATAACATACAGTTACAGACCTGCCCCATAGGCTCACTGCACCCTTATAGAAAGTGAGTCAGCAACGTGTCAATAATCACGTTAATATACAATGCAGTTAGGTAGCACTCACTCTTCATCCAGGTACAAATCCTCACCAAGGAATCCCCCTCACCTCTCAGGACCCCTCAGAAGTGTGAGTGCAAGAAAAAGCTTTATTGGGTTTTATGCTTCTCTCCATCCTGAGTTCTGTTCCCGAGTTACACCACCACGATAAGGGAGTTAACAAAGAAAGTTCGTTGGTGGGAAATCACAGGGACCCTGCAGAAAAGCCAAACTATTTGACAGAAGCCTAAACAAACACTGCTCTGGGAAATCGTTTGTCTTAGCTAATGACTGGGTTCTGTTTTCTAACATGGACATGCAACATATTCAACACTCTGCTTACCGCAGTTTGCTTGGAAAGACACCCTTCTGTCATAGCACAAAATGTATTCTGTCACGTGAATGGTTCCTGAATATTCATCACAAGGCCTAGACTCAGAAGCATGGGAAGTGTGCATTGGAATTTTCTCCCACTTGCATGGATGGGGACATAGGCAAAGCACCAGAAACTGCTTCCCTTCTGGAACTCAGTTCTGTTAGTGTGCTTACTGCTGAGATGATCTGGCTGTCTTACACTGAGAACTATTTTCATTTGCACACAATAGCACTGACCCACAGAAAGAAAAGGAGAGGCCACCACCTCCCCATAATGTACTTTGTACAACAGATCATCCTGTTTTGTCACGTTTTAGCCATCCCAAGAAAGCACAGAAGCCGCATTCCATTTTGCAGTCTTGGCAAATGATTTCACTGTTTCCACCTGTTTTGCCTTGTTTATTTCATCTCCATTATGCTGCTTTGGATCATGAATCATGACCTTTTTTTCTACAGTAGTCAGAGTTTTGTCTATAAAAGAGAGAGAGAGAGAGAGAGAGAAGAAAATGTTTTAGCAGAACCATAAATGTGAGTTTTCATTTTGCAGTAGGTGGATCTAATTTTTATGGCAGTCAGTAATTTGAATCATTTGTGGCCTCTAAGGTTTTATGAGCATCTCCAAAGGGAAAGAAAAAGTGCTGTGCTTCTTTTCATAAATTTCACAATTTCTACAAGTTGCCAAACCCTTAATTTGTTTCCAAATGAATACCAAATAGCCCATTTAGAAATTCTCTTATATAATACAGCTGTAGCCAAAAAATGGCTTTGCTCTCAAAAATTCTTACAAAATACTACAGCACTTGCCCTACATGAAAAGAATAATGGCTAAAAGAATAATGACTACTAGTGAGAGATGCCCTCCCCTGCACATTTAGGAAAGTGGGCCCTAGTAATCAATGTGTACAGAAACCAGTATCCACCTTCCCTTACAGAAGTGATTCAAGACATGGAGAAGCATCAGCTAATGCCTGAGAAAAGTCTGTTCTCCTGGTGTAGAGCCATATTCCCCTAACTCTGTCCTTCTGTAGGTCTCACCTTACCACATTACCCCTTGTGCTTTGGAGCTGGGCTAGGAGGTCCCAGCTCCGGACTGCACTCCCAGTCTCAGCCTCCCCACCCCACTTAAAGCACTCCCCCGACCAACTTGGCTATCATGAGTCTGTCCCACTCCCCCTTCTCAGCTCAGTCACTCAAATGGGTGACTCAATGGAGGAATCTTCCTGGTGACAGGACCTGTTTCTCATGGTCTCTGGCTTTGCCCCTCAGCCTCACACAATAGTGCCCAAGGACAAAGGCCACACCTCAGCCCAGACCCAGTTCTTGGGATTCCTGGGTATCTGAGAATGGGGACTGTACACAGCCTATGTCCCCAACCATGCTCCATAGACACCTACTCCTAGCCTGGGGCCTTTGCCTCTTCTCAGCTTCAAGAGAGAACACATTATGGACGCCCTGGCCTCCTCTGCAGCTCAGCCTGGGCTGGCAGCATTTTCTGAACTCTACTGAATTCCCTCCAGACCTCAGTCACAGCACCATCTCCAAAGTCTCCCTTTCCTCACCACCCACTTGCTAGCCATGGTGATAGTCTGGGGATTCCAGCTCCTAGACAGCCCAGACAACCTAGGCTTCTTTCCTCATCTAAACTGCACCCTCCTAGTGCAGGCCTTCCAAAGGCAGACCTCCTAACACCCAACCCTTTTCCTGTGCTGAGGCTTTCCCCACACCATACCCTCAGCAGCCCCATCTCACTCCTGTTCAAAAGCCTCCATCTCCCTCCCTCTAGCCCTGCCCTTCCTCCTGGCCCTCTAGGCTGACCCCAATCTATCCAGCTTTCTAGTATTGCTGAAGACAGGCCCCAAGCTCCTTGTCCACCTCCATCCATAGCTGTACCCCTCTGCCCATGCAGTTGTTCTGCTTTGAGCAGTCCCTACTCCCATCTCCCTACACTGTCCCTTCTTACTAAAATCTTACCCTTTCTTCAAGACCCACCTCAAATATCAACTTCTTTCATGATTTCTACCATGGACGTTTGCTTTCTAAGAATGATCCCCAAGGCTCATTTCTCTTGAGTACCCCTCTGTACTGCTTGATTTTATGTTTTGTGCTATGGGTATTTATTATTTCTAAGGGAAAAAAATGGAGTAAAAGAGAATAGAGCTGGGGATGAAATGGAAGAGGGTTTACTTAGTATGTGTGAGGCCCCCTGGTTCAATCCCCAGCACCACCACCAAAAAAAAAAAAAAAGAAAGAAAGAAAGAAAAAAGGGCAATTATCTGCCTTTTCTACTTTAAGGAGATGTTGCAAAATAGACTGTAGGCAATTGCAAAGCATGGATCAAGTAAGATACTATTATTATGATTTGATTTAATAAAAAATACAGTGCTGGATTTCAGCTGGCTAATGAAAGGGAAAATACCACTGTAGGGGATTTTTTTAAGTCCGTGAAATAACAAACTTTTTGCTTGCTTCTGTCTTTGAGGCAGCAACACATCACAGATACTCGGGTCTCAGGAGCCTTGATCTTTCTTCCCAATTTCCTCTGGGACCCATTTCATTTCTTTTTTTTTTTTTATATTACTAGTTTCCATAAAGAAAGTGTACAATCATGCTGAATTCCAAAGCTTCAGCATAAACTCAGGAGCAGCACCTTGACAGAATTCACAGCAGAACTCCAAGGTTATTCTGCCAGGAGTCATTGCTAAGAACTTTTGCAATTGCCAGGATTAAAAGAGTCTCTTTTAAGAGGAAGACAATACAATCACCAAGGAGAAAAGGGGACAGGAAAAGAAAGAGCTACTTCAACACAATTTCATGACATTCTTTTATATGGAAGTGTTTTAGAAACTGTTTTTTAATACTGTTCATAAATGATATCAAAGAACAAGTCATCATGACATAATACTGAAAAGCAATTTATGGCAATTCAAATCCATAAATAAAGTCATCCAATTAAAAAGATAAAAGAATCTGTGCTTATATCATATTATTACATTTGGGTTTGTAGTACCAGTATTTGAACACTTGTGAAGAAGTGAAAAAGACTAAAATTGATAGTAGTGAATTAAAATTACTAGTACAAAAGTATTCACAGCTTTTTTTCCCCTCTAGTCATTCTATTACCCCAAGGAAAATTCTTGACTGTCTGCTGGACTCCTGAGGCTCTGGTCATGCTGATCAAGAAAATGGGAAGAAATGGGTAAATATTTGGAAGTAGCAACACACAGTCTAATAGATTGCTCATACAGGAAAAGAAGAAAACTATTGTGTAGGGGGAAAATTGAGCCAAGAAGGCAGAGTGAGAAGCAAAAATAGAAATCAGAACCCAAGCAACCAGATGGGGAAAAGGGCTGAAGAAATTAGAGGAGCTTAGAATCCTTAGGATAGCTACCAGATATTTGAGAGCTCAAGGAAGGTATGAAGATTCTAAGAAGGTTTGCTGTGAACTATGGATTGGATGTCTTCTGTCATTCTTTCAGGGACTCCAGAAACTGGTTATGTCATTCATACCTAATAGAGTAAAACTCAAAATGGTATCCAACCCAATGGTGTCAAAGAACAAGTCATCAAAGCATAAAACCTAAAGGCAATTTATGGTGACTCAAATCCATAAGTAGTTATTCAACTAGCATGTGCTTGAATGCACCTGTGTAGTGTGTGGACCATGTGAATTCTTGGTCTGGTGACAAGTCTTTTATTAGCCACTCCCACCACTGGACACTCCACTGGACATGAGCTTCCAAAGGCTAACACTGTCACATACTCCTCTTTCTACACTGCCCCATGCCTGGCACCATATCTTATACACAGCAGGCCATCAAATGTTTCTGAAAAAACAAGCCAAAGAAGAGACTCTTTACATCCAGCCTGTACTTGCTAATTCATCCCACACAGTGCTGCTGAACCAGTCTTCACTACTTGGAGGTCTCCAGCCCTTAGTTGCAGAGATGCACTGATGATTCACTGCTGTTCAGGGTTTCCTTCCCTTAGCATTATGGGCTGGATAATTCTTTGTTGTGGGAGGCTGGTCTCTATGTTGTAGGATATTTAGCAGCCTCTCTGGCCATCTAGATCTCAGTAGTAACCTTACACACACTGCGGTTGTGACAAGCAAAAACATCCCACAACATTGCCAAATGTCTCCTGGGGAAGAAGCAAAATTACTCTGAGAACTGATTGTGTATGCTAAAAGTCCAAATTCTTAGAGCTAGCATAGAAGATCCTTTATAGTTTTATCTCGATCTACCTTTCTACTTATTCTCCAACCCTTCTCTCATCCCAGTGCTAAGCTATAGCCAGACTGTCCTTTGCATAATCTCCCACACTGGTGCCTCTACATAAAATGTCCCCTCATCTGGAATATCACTTCTCATTGCCTTTAGCCACAAAAGGAGCTCATATCCTACAGGAAGCCTTCTCTGATCAGCATTAGTGTAAGCTTTGAGTTATTTTGTTCTTCTTTGGTTTTCCCATGACTTTTCCTGTCTACATCTTTCCTTATTACAAAAGGTTGAGTGTACATATGTCTTGGTATGTTCGGGCTGCTGCAACAAAATACCATAAACATGTTAGCTTATAAACATCAATCCATGTTGGGTGGACTGGGAAGTCCATGATCAAGGTACCATTAAATATGGTGTCTGGCAAGGCTCATTCTCTGCTTCATAAATTGGGCTTTCATGCTGTATCTTTGCATAGAAGAAGAAATAAAATAGTTCCTTCAGGTCTTTTTTATAAGGGTAGCAATCCACTCACGAGGACTCTGCTCTCATGACCTAATCACTTCCTACAGGCCACCCTTTTAGCACCATTGCATCAGAGACTGGATTTCAACATATGAATTTAGGGGGAACAAAAACATTCAGACCACAGAAGCATATGTGTGTACTTATATGTGGTCTATCTAGTAGAAATAGATGCACAAGGACAGGAAAAGTGTCATATATTTTCTGTATCCACCTATGTGCATGGCAGTTATACAAAAGAAACTAAAAAATAAATGTTCTAACATTGATACTGACTTCCTGATATATAATTAGAAAAATAACTATTTCCTAAAGTTGATGGATATTTTTAGGCCAATCACTCAAAATTATTTGCATATCCTATAATCATGTATTCAAACTGAGAGAAATGTGATAAGGGATTAGTAATTGTCTTAAATCAAAGGATAGCAGACTGTGGCCCATTGGCCAAATCCAGCTGGCCATTTCTTTTGTAAATAAAGTTTTATTGGTGCACATCCATACCCATTTGTTTACTTAAGTGGATGAGAAAGGTAGAGATGAGCAGTTTCAATAAAGACCATATGTACCTAGAAAAGCTTAAAATATTTACTATGTGGACCTTCAAAGTTAAGTTTGCTGACCTTTGTTTTAGACTAGCAGGGGGGAAAAAAAACCCACACCCCAAGCCTCCATACTACCTAAAGACACAAAGGCAAATATCTTTGTCCTTTATGCCAGCTGATTTGTTTTTATAAAAGGCACAGTAGAATAGAGCTAAAAGCACCTTTGAACACAGGCTTCCTGGGCTCAAATCCAGCTCCATTGCTCTTATCTGTATGTGGGAAAATTGTTTGATCTCTCCAAGCCCTTGTTTTGTCATTCTCAGAATGGAAATAAAGAAACTAGCCTATCATAAAGTACAGAAGATTAAGTGATATAATTCCCATGAAGAGCTCAGGAAGTGCCTACGAATGAGTTCTCTGTAAATGTGGGCTATTATTATTTTAAACTGGAACACCTGCTTGTGTTCCCTTTTTTTCTGAGGTGGGGGGAGTGAGACAAGGACTCATTCTGTAGCCCAGGCTGGCCTGAAACTCCCAATCCTCCTGCCTCAGCCTCCCAAGTACTGGTATAAGAGGTCTGTACCATCATACACAGCTGTGTTACATTTTTTTCAAGTATTATTTTTGTTACCTGAATTATTATCAAAAAATTATTCTCGTTCTTTGCCTGTAAAGAAAGCATGCAATATAGAGGTATTTTCTAGTCCAGGACATTATCTGTTCTCTCCACTCTGCACATCAGCTGCTTAACTGGACCCCCTACCACCAATCTTGCCCTTATAGCTGCCCTTCTCACTGTTGCCAAAGACTTTCCACAAATACAACCCTCATCGTGTTACTCCTGAGAACTGAAGCCAACATGTTTTCCTTTTTCTGTGCTAAATAACCCCAGAACCAGACAAAATAACCTAGCTGCTTGTTCCAAGAAATAGCTGCTTCCAAGAGATAAAACTGCATCAAATAAAAGAGCTTACTTACCAAGAGTAATAATTAGCTCATTAATACTTTTTTTCAAAGCCCTCACCTTCATGTACCCAACAAACCAAAGCAATATGTCATAAACCCAGCCCAGTCTTCACCATTTCTCTGCCTTAAAACCGCCCAGGCCCAGGCCTTAACACTCTTATCGGTATACTTGCCTTATTTCCTCTATCTGAGAAACTACTAAGACTGTATAGCAGGTGCCCTCCCATAGTGCAGCAATTCTAATAAATGAAATTTAGGGTAAGAGGTCATTCTAGTTGTCTTCATAGAGAACTGATGGCTACCACCCCTAGTTCAAGATCAAGCCAATAGCTATTTACTATCTCCAGTATGATTAGAAGCACATGCATTAGGGTGATTAATACCATACCTATGTGATCTTAGGTAAGTTATTTTATGTCTCTGAGCATCAAATTGTTCTTCTGAACACTGGTGGCAAGCTATAGAGCAGGTAGTGCATATTTGATAATTGTGGGTAATAAGTATTTTTTATAATCTGCTATGTATGAAGTACTGTACAAGGTTCTTAAACTAGAAATCTAAGAATTAACTCCTTCCCTAAAGGAATTCAAAATCTGGTGGGCAAATGCCAACAATAAATTCAGTAGAATCTTATAGGCCTATTATCTTGAAGGTTGCTCATAGTGCATACTCTAGAACTTAAAATTATATATATTTTTAAATGCTACTTTTTGTATTATGTACAATTCTATATGTACAAAAGAGTGGATGTGATAGAAATAAAACCAAATACTTGTGAAACTACACCCAGTTCAAGAATTACAACTTTCAGTTATAAGATAGAGGCAGTCTAGTATATGAAAAATGTGTGGTGCTAGGATTTAGATGGTATGGAATCTAGACTTAGTTGTAACACTCAAAATGTGTGGGGTATCTCACTTTCTAGGTCTCAATTACCTCTTCTGTCAACTGAGGGAACTGGACAAGATGACCAGGAAGTCTTTCCAGGCTAGAATAGTCCCTGCTTCATGCCAGGCTCAGTGTGGAGGAGCGTCTCCTCCTCTATCACCAGCACCTTCCATTTTCTCATTCCAAGTTTCTTTTATCTCAGCTTCCAAATATGGAGATATCTCCTCTACCTAGATTCCAAACAAAAATCTCCATTTGACCTGCTGATGACTCTAACTCCTATCTATCTCCTTCCTTCTGTACCATGCCAAACTTGTTAATATGTGGGTTACTTGTGAAACCTCCAGTTCCTTATCATCAGCAGCACTTTGTGGTCCCTTTCCAGACCTCCATGCCCTACTGTAATTGCTCCCTGGAAAGTCACTAAAGTCTCCCAAACAAACTCAACAGCTTTAGCAGGTCTCAACTACCAAGATAAGATAGTGGGCAGCACTTCCTGGAAGCTCTAATGGCTTTTAAGACCTTGTTCCATCCCGGCATCTGCTGCATGAACACAATTCCATGCTGGAAAGACTGTGTTTGCTTCCTTCCTCAAAAAAAAACTATCAGTGAAGTATGAGATCATCAGATAGAAGTATACTAGCAGTTAAAAGGTTAGTGTCATAGGAATTCAGTTATGAGGACATAGTTTAGATATGATTTATGGAGAATGACTGGAAAATACCCACCTCCTTGTTGTCAACCATATCAATTACAATTCATCCACAACCCCATCTCCTCTTCCAACCCAACTAAGACTTCCGGCTTTTGAAACTTTACAGAGTAGAGGAATGGAGTCTATACTATCCTGCATGCAAATAATCTGGTCCATTTAGTAGACAGTATAAGCTAGCTACTGATTCAGAAAGCTTTCTGTGATACAATTCAAGACGTTTCATGAAAGGGTTGGGGATAAAAGGAAAATAGTGATAAATGACCTTACAGCACAAATTCGGGTCTCTCGGGCCTCTCAGCAAGCTTCAGGGCCTCGTGCATGCCTGCAGCCGAAAGCTTCCGGTTGATATTCCGGTACTGGCACTGGAGCAGGCTGCGGTAGGTGGTCCTCAGGTCCCGGTTGAAGAAGGCATATATAAAAGGGTTAATGAGAGAGTTTGCATAGCCGAGCCACAGGCATGTCCTCTCTACCCACAGTGGGATGCAGCTGCAGGCAGTGCCACAGATGAAGGGCCTGGCAGTTGAAAGAAGGAAAAATGGCAGCCAGCACACAGTGAAGGCCCCGACAATGATCCCCAAGGTGGTGGCTGCTTTCTGTTCCCTCTTAAAGATGGAGATGTTTTTCCTTTCATGTTTGAGGAGTCTTGAAAGATTTGCACATTCTTCCACCTCCTTCTGGAGCTTCACCATCCCATTCAGGGAGATGACACTGTCTGGCTGCACACGAGGGAAGCCAGGGAACTTGTGTTTGGCGGCGCTCTTCCTGGCGGCCTTGTAAATCTGATAGTACATGAACAGCATGACAGACATGGGGATGTAGAACGCCACGGCAGTGGAGTAAATGGTGTAGCCAAAATCCTGGCTGATTAAGCACACCTTGTCGTCATTCACATTCTGAGCCCATCCAAAGAGTGGGGGCAAGGTGATGGAGGCAGAGAGCAGCCAGACAGAGAGAATCATTTTTGCCATGCATTTCCCATTCTGCCGCACAGGGTACGTGAGGGGCCTTGTGATGCCAAGGTACCTGGGAGAGAAATGGAAAGATGACAGGTGAACACTGGAACTGGAACTGATCAGCCGAGGAAGAGCTCCCAGCCAGCACTAGTGCCAATCTTCACAGCCCATCTAGGTAGCATCCCACTTGGCAGAAAGGTCAATGAAGGCTCTGAGATGTTACCTGTCTTATTCCAGGTCACACAGCCAGCAGAGGTACTCACTGCCAGGCCTCAGCCTGAGCACGCTGTGACCCTAAAGTTAGTCCATGCTTTTCTCATACCTTGTAGCTTCTGACAATCCATGTCGTCAATGAACTAAAGATTAAACACCTGCCTTCTCTCCTTAACCGCCATCACCAAGATCAGCTAGGAGCAAGACATCAAGCAGGACATGCGATTTGGTGACACAGCCTCACAAATAAACCACAGTCTGTCCCACTCTGGTATTATACACCCACTGATCTCCTCAGCCATCTTACTTCAGACCAGCTTTTAATTCATTTTGCCTTCCCATTGCCTCATAGCTAAGTATTTCCTTAAGATCACAGAAATTTGTGAGATATTTTGAAAATCCTGGGATTTGTGAATGGAAAATTCTCACACAACAGAAACATCAGAGGAACAGTCTTCTCCCCCAACCACCCCCCGCCTCTGCCCCGTGGTACTGGGGCTTGAACTCAGGGCCTACACCTTGAGCCACTCCACCAGCCCTTTTTTGTGATGAGTTTTTTTCAAGATGGGGGTCTTGTGAACTATTTGCCCAGGCTGGTTTTGAGCCACAATCCTCCTGATCTTTGCTAGGATTACAGGCATTAGCTACCAGCACTTGGCACAGAGGGACATTCTTTAAAATAAAAATAGCTTGTCTCATTGCCCCAGTTCTGAGGTGGATCACAAGAAAGGGCACAATTCTGAGAAATATTAAGAAAATCTAATGTTTTCTCTGTTCTTAGTTCTATCTAGAGAACAAATATTCCTTTACCTCTCTTATCAAGGATATATACTGCTAGAGATTCAGCAGAGAATATCTATCCAGTAAGATGTTTGGTCAAAAGCTTAATATTTTTCAGCTTTTCAAATTTGTTTTTTCCTCTATATTTAACAGTCTTACTTTCTATTTTGGGGAGAATGCACAGAGCACTTGAGAAACACAGTTGGTCATTTTGTTGTTGGGTTTTTTTTATTTCCTTTAAGGATAAAAAAGACATTCTGGAAACATGAAAAGAAAAGGTACAGGCAGTTCCTAACTTGCCAACAGCTCATTTTCTAAAAGTCAGTCAGCTGGTAGGTTAAACTTGAAAATCCCTGCTAGAAGAATCTTTGAGCCTTAAATTACCCCATAAAAGTCCAAAATCCTGCTTCCACAATGAAACTTAGTATCACTACAACATTTACAGGACAAAATTGAAATATAGTAAAAAGGCATAAGCCAGATTTGCATGTTCATGGAGAATATCTCTTCATTCGTTCAACACACACAGACATTTCTGAGTATCCACAGGGAATTGGTTCTAGGACCCCCATCATGGATACCAAAAGCCGTAGTATTCAAGTCCCTTATACAAAATGGCACAGTATTTGTACATAATCTACACATATCCTCCTTTATAGTTTAAATCATGTGCAGAATATTTATAATACCTAATATGATGTAGAACTATGTAAATAGTTGTAATACTGTATTGTTTAGGGAATACTGACAAGGAAACAAGTCTGCAGTGTTCAGTACAGACACACCCTTAGTAGGCCTAACTCTAAAGCATGCTATCTGCAGTTGGTTGCACCTGCAGGGGGAGAACTCACATATACAAAGTGCTGACCATATTAACAGCACTGTTGTAAAAGTTGGGGTGATAGCAATCAATGAAAGATATAAAATTTTTGAAATCTATGGGTCAGAGGGCAGGACTGAGCCCACGGTAAGATGAAGGGGATTTCTGGTCCCTTTCAAGGACTTGGGTGTTCTTGGCTCTGATGCTTTGTTCCACAAGCTCTATCTTCCCCTTTCTTGATGAAACTGACCCACAAGCATTATCCTTAGGTTTATCCACTGAAGTTAGGGCTAAGTTTTGTTCCCCCGACAGAATGAAGGAAAAACAAGATTTTCCTGAGGATGCAAGAATAAGAACCGAAAAGAAAGGGAAAAGAAAAGGGGAACTAGGAGGAAAAGGACAGAAAAAAAAAAGGAAAAAGGAGTGAAAGAAAGGGGACATGCGAGGTAAGCTTCATTTCATGTGGAATTATCTGAGTTTCAAGTTATGGAAACAATATTTTGAAAAGTTGCAAAATAAAAAAGGAACCCCTGAAGAAAGATGTTGACTGGAGGCCCACAGTTAAGCTGGTCCTGGCCTGAGACTGAATGCAGGCATCCACTAAAAAAGTCCCTCCCCTTGCTTTTGCTTAGGAGCTCTCTCAAGTGCTTCCTGACTAAGATCCCTTGTAGATCTCTTCTTTGATCTAGTTCTTGGGTGAGGTCCTATGGGTGTAGCCTTTTGGGCTTCTTCCTTGTTTCCCAGATCCCTTAAGCAGACTTTCCCAGAACTTAGACTTCAATTTCCATTCTTTTCTTTCTATAGCCCAAGGATAAACTGCCAGTTCTAGAGCCTGGATTTTGCCTCCAAAATAACAGCTTAATCTGAAGCGTCAGGTTCACCAAGTAACAGAGATCCGTTACTTCAAGCTGTTCCCCAGAAGGCCACCAGATGGCACTGTCAAACCGCTTTATGACTACTTACTGGGGTGAGGGAAGGAGTTTGGGATAGTGAATGGTTAGAGCATTAGGTGTATGATAGGAGGAGGAAGGACGATCACTTAAGACAAAAAGTTATTATTTTATTTGTGGGTTAACCTAGAGTGCTAGCAAGCCTGGAATTCACAACCTGGTAAACACCTATTTTTGAGGAAGGCAGTTTAGTTTTTCTCTTCCATTCTTTCACATTTTCCTTACTGGAACAAGGGACTACACATTCAAGCTCAATTAAAAAAAAAAAATCCAGGCTTTTACCTGCCCACATAAATAACACAGAATTCAAAAATATTAATCCTCAGAAGTATTAATGGAGGACTGAAGGACATCTCAGAATATTAGATGATATCGTAACAACAGTGTTTCCACATTCTAGCACTCCTAATCTAACACATGGTATTTCAGTGATGGGAACTGTGCCATATTCAGTCTGCCTGAATGCATAAATTATACTCTATAAACATTCCATTCTCTAATTGTTTTAAGTCACATCCTACAGTAAAGTGGTTAAATTTACTTCCTGTTTAAACAAATAAAATTTTAAAATATTATGGGGGAGATAATTTCTTTAATGAGAACCTAAAACTTTAAATATCTAGGGAAAAGCTTTAAAAATCGTGAGGACTGGCTGAGTGCAGTGGTTCATATCTATAATCCTAGCTACTCCACAGGTAGACTTGAGGAGGATCACAGTTTGAAGCAAGCCCAGGCAAAAGGTTATTGAGACCCCATCTCAATCAATAAAGTCTTGGCATGGTGTCACATACCTGTCATCCTATCTACACAACGGGCATAAATAGGATCACGGTCCAGGCATGCCTAGGCATAAGCACGAGACCCTATTCAAAAAATAATGAAAACAAACAGAGCTGGGGACACAGCTCAAGTGGTAGAGTTCTGCCTAGCAAGTCCAAGGACCTCATTTCAAACCCCAATAAAAATGGCCAGGACCTATATGCAGAAAACATAAAATTCTATTGAGATGCATAAAAGAATACTTACACACATGAAAAAAAATCCTTTTCCTTTAACAAGAAAATCAAATATTAAAAAAGTACTGATTATACCTCAATTAATGCATAAACATTATTCAACCCCAACGGAATAACCCGCAAGGCTACTGGTTTTGTCAAATGATTTTAAAGTTCATCAAGTCAATTTGTAAACATGGACACATAATCTGAAACAGAATAAAGAAGTGTGAGGTCCATAAAATACTATAAAGCCACAGAAGTAAAAGCCCAATAATACCTTCAAAAATAAACCAGAATGGGTCCTATAAATTGATTCAAATATATAAGGAAATTTAGTATCAGAGGAGCCATTTTATATCAGTAACAAAGACTGGATATGCATGCATTTTCACAACTAACTAGCAATTGAAGTAAAATTGATACTGACTTTTGTCTTTTACTTTATTAAATATAAATCCCAGATAGACCAAAAATCATCATGTAAACTCAAACCTTAAGACTGTTGTGAGGAACATAGTTTTTGTTTCAATCACCTCAGGATACTGAGATACCTTGGCATAGGTGGAAGCTCCAAAGATTTGCTAGATGATATTGTACTTATCAACAATATTACATTGCACACTAAAAATATGAGGTTAAGTGTTTTTGACACAGTAAAATGAACTTTTACAAAAGGGTTTTAAAAAAAGCTTGAAACCACCATTGATAAATTTTTGTGACAAAAAATTTATAAACAAAAATAAGTGACATTTAGCTTAACTTAAAATTCATTATAGGCAGAGGCAAAAGTCAAACAGAGTTGGAATCCAAATGGCAAAAACCCAATATTCACAGATTTGTTACAGGTCAATAAAAAAAATTCCAATAAAAATAGTGAAGCAATTGCCCAAAAATACGAATGACCAATAATCACTCACAAGTATGAAGAAGTCGTTAGTAATTGAAAGGATGCAAAATTTCACACAATGACATGCATTCTGATCATTTGCCAATTTTTAAGAAAGACAAAACCAATACTGAAAAACTGAAAAAACAGGCACTGGGTTATTTTACTAGCAGAACTGTCAAGTGAGAGAGTAACTGAGCTAGCAATTGTCAATGGAAATAGCAGTTGGTATTTATTAACACTTACCCTTTCCTCAATAATCAGACCTTTAGGAATTTGCAAAGATAATTATGCAAATACAAATGACTAATATACAAAGATGTTAAAAACATATAAGGGGAAAACAATACAATCTAGGCACCTGTCAACAGGAAATTGAAGCGATAAGGCATGGTGTGTATCACACACTATAATGTGTGTATG